ACCAGGTCTACCTTCCCCATTGAGCTGATGGCTGGCGCAGGGGATGTTTATACTGTCTAGAGCCCCTCCTGCTCATCCATCTCCTCAAGATCTTTTCTTTCCCATCTGTCAGCACAACCACAGTACCACAAGCAGCTTCTGGTGTGGAGAACTGAGGCTGCTTCTCTTTCAGTAACACAGCTGCCCACAGAGCAGCTCCGTGCAGTGGACTAGGACACTCCAGACCTTAGCTCGGCTTTGGGTGCTGCAGCTGCAAGACCTCAGCTCTCTCTCTCCGCAGCCAGGGATACTGGGGAAGCACAGCACTCAAAGACAGGATGAGGTGCCTTTCTTTGGCAGTAGCCACTAGTTCCCCACACTGACTGAAGGAGTAAAAGGGGCCCCTTTACACTCAAGTTTTCAGCTGTTAGCTCAAGTTAATAACTCCTTTCTTTCCTCCTTGTGTTGCTGCATGCCAGCATCTCTTGAAGCACCACCCAGGTCTCTTTCAAAGATGGATCCGCTTGTGTGTGTTATGCTAGAAAGCACCATCATAACAGACCCARTATGCATGGCCTAGCACTTTCTGTTTTAAAAATATCTATATTATAAATTTTACCCCTTCCCAGTGGACTTTGGAGAGCCTTGCTTATTCCAGTGATCCCCTCAGCTACCCCTATACAAGTTTCATATTCTAAAGGATCAAAGGACAAAGAGCAAACATTAAGCAGACCTTTGAGTCTACAAACTCGAGGCTGAATGATTGGCAAACAATCTCTCCTCATGAAAAGTTATGTTACAGCAACACAACAGCAAAGTGAGCCAAAAGTATGTCTATTCCTGATTTGTAGACCAGGTTTTAGTTATACTATAATCCTCTTGGTATGTCTGCTTAGGATCCATGCAATCACGCAAGTCATGAGCACCACCCAAGAGATCCTGTGGCTCCCGTGCTGAACAAGTGACACACCAGATGAAGGCTGAAAAACATACATGTGCAATTGTTCTGGGAACTTAAAGCACCCATAACAGTCAACAAAGCAAATATGGTGCAAAACTTGTTGCTGTTTTCCTAGCATTTGTGAAGCAAAGCTACAGAGATGCAGAAAGATGAGCTCGTTGTCACACCTTCCCCCTGATCCCAGCCAACAGAGCCCAGCAGCACAAACAGCAGCAGGGACAGGTAAATGCTTCCCGAGAGAGCTCACTGTTTTCTGCCACTGCACGGGCTGTGTGTGTGTGCAAGAGGGGACACATTCGGGTACATTTCTGTATGCCTGAGAGAGCTGAATGAAGAGCAGGACCGTTACTTTTCCTCCTCCCTCCTCTAAAGCCAGGGCTGCTCCAGGGGATCCACCACAGAACAGCTCCTCGGCTCTGTCCTGCATCCTGCCTGCTCCTGGCACAACCCGAGTGTGTCTGGAAAGGTGCTGCTGTTACTCATACCTCGCTCGGGGACAGTCCCTGAGAAGCCTGCGCCAGCTTGGCCTGATAAGTACAACCCTCCGTGTTGCCTGGGGAAGAGGCCGGGCGCGGCCGGGCGCTCGCGCAGCCAGCGGTTCTGCTGACACCTTTGGGCTGATGGCTGGAGGCCTGCTCACACAGAGGAGCCTTAGCAAGCTCCCTTTGAGGGGCATCCCCTGAAAACGCTGCTGAAGCAAAAAACAAAGCAACTGCTAATGGCATAACAGCAAGCAGCAACCCAAGGAACCCTGCTGTCATGAGGGAAAAAAATAGAGGAAGATGGCTAAATGTTGCCAAGCAATAAGAACTTAAACTGTGGCACAGGGCAAGTAGGTGGCAGGCCATAGGGAATCAGAACAATATGAAATTAAATATGTTTTTACTTCTGATTACTCCACTAAGCATTTAATGGAAAATTTTGTTGGCGTTGACAGGATTTTGTAGCATCTTGTTCCTCAAAGATTGTATTTTTCATCCCCAAAAAGATAATAAGCTTTTTTTCAACTCAGTTACCTCCTTTCCAGCAAGGCTATACAAATAATAAGGTAAAAAATGATGTCCCTCAATTAGATAGCAAAAGATAGCTGTTCATCATAATATTTTCAAGGATCTATATGCACTAAACAGCTGTAAAAGGCATCTGGTAATCACCCCAAGCACTGGATTAAAACTTTAAATCGGTGTGAAAAATTAAGTGTTCAACCACAGGCCCTTCACAGTCTCCCTTTCCCTACCTTTTCTGGGATTGCCAACTATTTGGAAGCTTCTGTATTCTGGAAGGTCTTTCATTAACAATCCTCACACTAAAGCATCCTTACAAAGTTATGTAAAGCCCCAAATCTAATCTATTTATTTGATGACCAGATTTCAAGACAAAACTGCAATTCTTCCGTTATGATTTTTAATAATCCCAATGTAATCAGATCATGAGGAATGAAAAAGATGAATTATCATCAGTAGTGCAAAACAGTATAAAAATCAGAAGCAAAAGCAAAACAGCAAAGCTTCCATGTTCATTACAACTAGAAAAGTTTTTTATTAGTCCATATTTGTATTTATTGCACTAACACACTTAAAGGTGCAATKCGAGTAGAAGGATAACTCACCTAAGCAACGAGGCCTAATGCTAGCTTTTAATGCTTATATGTTAAATTCAAACACTCCTGTGTTTAATATATAGTGTTTTATCTATAAATTCACTAATAATAATGCACTAATTGAAATAATGCATATTGGTAAGCTGCAGAGTTATATCAATGAACAACTAAAATGGGAACCGAAGCAACTATCACCAGAGGAAAAGGCAATGGATAGTAATTTATTTTAGTACTTTAGTATTTGCAAATACTAGAGTATTTGTAATATAATAGTAAATAAAGTAAATACTAAGTATTTGTAAAATACTTTAGTAAAGTTTTTTAGTACTTGCTCTAAGTCCTCCAAGGAATAATAGAATCACAGAAACTGGAGATAGAAAAACACCTTGTAGTTCATATAATTTATCTGCCTGCCAGTACAAGATTCTCCCTACAATGATTTTTAGCACTTCCTTATGCCAAGTTAAGATCAATGCATCACATCTAAGCAAAACGAGCTTATTATGAGACTCCTCAGACACTGTGTTTCACAGTCCTCAATAGATCATGGTGCTGCATCATATAACAGCAAAGGTCCCAAACTGCCGAGACAATATAAGGCTATATTAGCTTTATACAATGCAGCGCAGACAATATAAGGCTAATATAAGGCTAGCCCAAAACATGAGAGTCAGCTGCATAACGAGATCACTCAGAGTGCTGGTCCCTGATATAAATCCTCTCACCCTCTTGCCTCCTTGCCACAACGCTGTGTCCTCTCTCCTGCTAAGGACACAGCTGATCGGTGCTGGCACACAGGTGTGAGATGTGCGACCTCGGTGCCAAGTGGTGTTAATGTGCAAGAAAAAGCTCAAGCTGTGGAAGAGCGTGAGGTCATTTAGTGAGTCTCATAGCTGGTGGCAGATTCACACCCCCTCTGGGGCTCCCCTCGTCCTGGCGGTTCTCAGGGGTTGCAGCTGAAGGCAGGACCTGGACGGGAGGATTTCCCACTGAGATGAGAGATGCTTCATGCATGAGTCTTGCCCTGGTGAGCAGAGCGTCCCCCTCGAGATCACTGATCTCTTCCACCCATTTCAAATAATGCGTCCAACAGCAATCACATGAAGGGGTTCACAAAAGGAAGAAAAGCAACCTCAAGGGAGACAGCTCAAAAAGAAGTGACCATAATGAAAAATATGCTGAGAACGTGTTGGACAGTGGACGTAACACCTACTTATGGGGGACGACTCATCTTAAAGATGAGCTGGGGGGCTCCCACTTCTTATCAAAACCATTTTGGTGAAGTATATGCGGTGTCATCCCCTGCTGYGTAGCAGCTTCCTACCGAGGTTTTCTATACAACGCCTGAACTGCCCAAAAGCTAAGAGCTCATCTAACTGAAAATTCTCCACTATATTTGCTTCACATCTGTAAATGTACTTTGAGAGCTTCAATCACATTTCTAACTATTTCAAAGAATTAATCAAGAGAGCTTGCCACACTGACTGCCCCAGATAGGAAACACAGAACATTCCATAACTACCTAAGACAAATAAAATACAAAATAGTCAGTTATTTTCAACTTTAAATGCAAAAAAACCCCAGCCCATTAAAACAATCATACTAAAATATGTTACACTAAAAGAATTAAAACATGAAAAAAATAAGATTTTTCACATAATCCTAACTGTTTCACCATAAGAAGGTAGATTATTACCAGCCCTTTTTACTCAGAGACTTACTATTTTTCTGCATATTTAAACACAGATGTGGGTGCTTAGCAACTGTAAAACAAAGTCATTTACTTAAATAACAGTACAGATTAAGGTACTTCATTTAAATACCTACTTTTTAAATATTGTATATGTACAGAGACAGAATACTCAAGTATGGATGCAATAAGCCAGTTGGCTTTCCATTTAAGCCAAGAAACAGAGATTTATGTTTGCTCTGTACATCTCTGGGATGGGGGAGAAACAATTGTGCTTTGTATGCAAGGTACTTACATCTACAATGAGTCATTACAGAAAAAAATAAATAAATGATTAAAATTTAATCAATTAATATGTATTCATACAATATAAAGGTCTGGATCTTTTAATATTTCAAAATTTTTATAAAGCATGAATGCTCTTTTGTTAGAAATRTCCATATTTTAAACTTGAGGCAAACAGGAGAATAATGGAAGGTCCRATATTTCAGAAATATCAGGTAGCATCTACACTCCAATATTTCCCTAGCATTTCTAAACATAAAACATGGCCTTTTTTAATTTTTCAGTTTTACATTTTTTTTCAGTTATACAAAACACCACCTTTATGAAATCTTTCTTACTTGAGTTAATCGACAGTACACAAATAATGTTTTCCTAAATAGTATGTTACTTTACCTCACCCACTTTCAAGCAATTCAGAGTTTTTGAGGAGAAATAAGACATTTTATTAAATCAACTCATTTAGTTGCAATGAACAGATTTCTTACCTATTTGTTTTCTGTACTGGTCAACAGGAGTCCTTGAAGTAGAGGCATCTGATCTACACATACTATTCAATCCAAAAAGCACTCTCAACAAAAAAAAAAAAAAAAAAAAAAAATTATTCCTAGATAAGTTACAAAAAGAAACCAATGACTTCTATATACAACATAAAAATCTGTAACAAGCAATACTTACAAGATTAGGCCCAAAAACATAAGCCTACCCAGAATACAATGATGTATCACTATTGTAAAGACTATTAGATTCTGAAAGTACCTTTCTTCCCCTTCAGACCATTTATTAACATTACAGAATGGCTGTTAGTTTGAATTAAGAGAAAAATGAAGTGATTTTAAACTGATTGCTCAGTAACACAGCACGTGATGCTACGGARTTTCACTTTAACATAGGCCAGAAGCCTGAGAGCACATGTGCTGCAAGCCAGATCTGCTCCAGAGCAGCACAAGCCCCAGGTTTGCCCTCCTGGCACCTCTCCACCATAAGCAAAGCCCCCCTATTCTCCCACCCTGACTTTTAGAGATCAGAGAATCACAGAATCATTCATTATAGTTGGACGAGATCTTCCAGATCATCAAGTCCAACCGTAAACCTGGCCCCACCAGGGCTGCTAAACCATATCCCTAAGTGCCTCATCTACACATTTCTTGAACACTGCCAATGTTCAGCTCTGCAAATGAAGATCTGCAAGATCTGCAAATGAAGAGACAGTGGAGAGAGAAGGAGGGAGCTGAGGCTCCACCATCTCTTCTTATGTACCATCTCTTTGGAGCATATAAAGTTGGAGCATATGCAGTGAGCTTCACCATGCACCACTATTTGGGAAGCTCGGCCCTTGAAGGTACTGTGGTGCCCAAGCATGTGCTAAAAAGCACCCAGATGTCTGTGCTGTGGGCTGCTGTCAACGTTACAACGTTCATCATCTGAGATTGGCTCCTTCGTAACTTCAGCTGAGGTCCAAAGCATGGCTGCAGGAACGACCCCATCGGTGACTTGTGCATATAGAAGGCCAAATGTATCTCTCTTTGTATTTACCTATGCTATAAAAATTATCAAAATGTAAAAGTCCAGTGAAAAACAGGACAACAGAAWCAGGCTCTTAAATCTGACGCTCACTTTCAGTGTGTGTCATAGGACTTACAATGAATTTAGATGTCTACAAACAGGCAAAAAAGTATTCAAGAGGAATAACCAGGTACAAGACTACTACTGTTTATAATTTTAACTGAAACGTCAACTACAACATTATAATGCTTCCATGCTTTATTTTGGTTTAATTCAAAGAGTATCTTTTTTTATTACTATCTAGAACACACATGTAGTAAACTGTAATCCACTGGGATTTTTCCTGCTATTCTGGTGACTTAGTTGTATTTCTCACATAATGTTCACATCACAGTAGCAATGCTGGAAAACAACTATAAAATTTCAACATGCAGCTAGTTGAGGGGAAAACACACATTTTACACTGCAAAACAAGTTCTTGGCTGATTTTATGACACTGCTAGCAACYGTTTTGACTTGCCTTTTGCAATTCCAATAGCCTCCCAATGTTTGGTAACAAAACGTCAGCTGTTAAAAGATGTTTGCAGGAGTGCTAGTAAAACACGGGGAGACAAATATTCCCCATTATTTAAAAAAGGGGTTGGTTGGGTGAATAGGAGCACTGGGACTGCGGGTGTTGGCCGAGTGAGCGCAGGGTCCTGCTCTCTGGCACCTAGAACCCAAAAACGCTTCTGCTTCTCTTTGTGCTGCAGAAATCCCTGCTCCTTTCTACTTTTGATGGCTAGATAGCGAACTCCCGAGAAACCCGTGGAGACATTAGCACATACAGCCGCAGTGTCTAATAACACAGCTATTTGCATAAAAGATCAGCCACAATTTAAAATGTGTTGTGATAGATGTGGAAAGGGAATAACAGATCTATATTAGCATGTACGAAACCAAGATTGTTTTCACAATTTAATTCCCTGGGGATGGTGGCTCATCACCTTCTCTTGTAAAGACTCCTCCATTCCCCGGGGAGGTAACTTGCGATGAGCCCGAGTTAAACTAAAATATGGATTAATAAGAGATAATATTTATTATTTATGAATCTTGCTGTAGGAGTGGTTTCAAATGTAACTTTCTGATCATATTTCCATAATGGAAAAGCCTTCAGCCTTTATGGCTCTCGACACAGGCTGAGCAGAAAGCTGCTACTTCCCTATGTAAAATACAGGTGCAATAACCTCCTGCAATAACCATTGCTCTTAATTTTAAGGAAGGGAAAATGCACTCCATCTTTTTCAGCTGTCTCTGATGTCAGCAAGTGCAGGATTTAGCCTTTTTTTCTGTTTCTTTATAGCAAATCAGTAATCTGCAGCATAACATGTTACTTATACTCTGGGCAGTCTTCAAGTCCCTGCAATATAACCACTGAAAACCACGTAAAGGAGCTTTGCTCTTTCTACATGCTGTTAAAAAGACTTTCAGAGTAATTTCAGGTCATTTGAAGCCAACCTGAGCCCTCCTCACCTTTCAACCTTCTACAAAATACGATTTTAAGAAGATGAAACAAGACTCTCTTGCACTATTTTTGCTTGTTTATTGCTATTTTTCAGAGATATTACAAGGTCAAGGGATTTCTTCATTTTTGTGATTCCTTTGKTTTTTTTACCCTCTTTCTCTTCCCCTCTAGAATTTACCCTTAAAGGTTTACACTCCCAGAAGAACACATGATATATTTTTCCTTCCTCCTGTTTTATTCGGAAGCAGTGACCGATACACATGATAAATTGCTTATTATCTCCTACTGTTGATAGCATTTTTTGAGTTATAAAACATGTTTGAAAGTCTAGTCAAGATCTGATCATGAGTGTTTGTCTTAAATCCCAACAGACTATTCTTGAAATATACAATTTCCATCAATCACAAAATGTTCTTTTAATGAAATAAAAACATACTGTTAATAATTTCAAAAATCATGTTAGAAATAAGTGCAAGCCCTAGATAGCATAAAGAATGCACTCTGTATATTTATGGCACAATATAAATTATTAATAATCGTAATGAAGTCTGAAGTGTGTGGCCCTGAACACAGGAAGATCTCAACATGTGCCCATGTGCACACTCTCTTAGCAATGATGGTATCTGACAGTCTCCAATGCTTTTATTCTTCAACAGCAAGCTGCCTGAATATTAATAGAGGGCATCTTAAATGTGATAAAAGTAATCAATTAAATTATTATTTTTGCAGCTGAAACGTGGCTAGTCAGTTGGGAGAAAGGAAATTAAGATTTTGCGATAGAAAAKATCCACCACGGAGTGTAAAACTACTAGGTCAAATCTTCCTTTGTAATTGAAAAAGTTCATAAATAAAGGAGGATGAATGTATAGCAGTATATGTGTATACGTGCACATACCTTTTGCTTTAGAAATATTGCAAATGGATATAATACTTAAAAATCCCTCTTTTTTGTGGTTATAATGCAAGTTAATAATTTCAATCCATAATCCAATTAATTTTGGATCTGATTCAATGAAAGAATGGGTCTTTTACCAGTCAGTCTCATTAGTTTAATAAATAATGGACATTCATATAATGTTTAATATAATTAATTACTATTAATAATAAATGATTGATAATTAATAATATTGCAGGGACAAAAATAGCCTTTTATCCTCTATGGTGAAATCGAAGCAACATACCAGATTGTCTGTGAACACGATGTTATTCCATTTAAAATGGAAAATATTGCTCTTGGTTGTTTGGATTGGCTTTTCTTTTTGTGTATATTGCTGAGATAGTAAGAAAGAAATTGAAGAAAGGTAGTGGAAGTAACTGGTATCCAAAACKGCAAGAATAACGCAGCTGAGGGGAGACCATAATATAGCTCAGTCACACCTCTACAATAGAGGATTTATAAGCCTTTATAGGTTTATAAATATAAATAAATATATAGATAAATAAAGTATAATTAAAAAGCCTTGCTTAGGCATTCATTGGCTGAGCTATATGCATCATATCCTTAAATCTTAAAAAAAAAAACCAGCAGTCATCATTACTCCTCTGGAAACTGTTTCTCAAAGGATAAGGAATCCCAACCCAAATCACCTCTGGAATTTTTGCATTTGGAAGACTATGCTCTTTAACTTTGTGTAGGTACATCAAATTAGATGGCATCAGTTAGGCCACAATATTAGGTGAGATCAATTAGGTCTCTCTCTCAGCAAAAGTATTCAGTTGCTTTTGCTAGATGTTAGCCATATCTGACACCTTAAGATAAGAGTTCAAAAAATCGTGATTAATTTTATTCATGAGAGAGAGAGGAAGAAAGTGAAGATTCGAAGGACTCCTATCCCTCAGTAAAATTTTTAAAAGGTTTCCTATGAAGCAAATTTGGAATTTTAAGCAAAAAAAGAGGCTATGAAAAAAGTCAAAGGTTCCTTCCATTCCAAGTAAGGAACACTCTGTCACAGCTTACACAGAAGCAGAACTAGGTCCAAAATGTAACTGGCCAAAATCCACTTACAAAAACATTATTTACACAGGAGATACCCCTATAGTAAATAATGAATATCATGGCATTTTGAGGAATATTCCTAGCATAATGATCTTATATTTATTTTTCATTATTGAGATTTTTCATTTGTCTTCAGCATCAAGTTCTCTACCTACTTCCAAACTGCTTTACCATCTGTAAAACATATTTTAACGTGAAGACAGATCGTCTTTGAACAAACTTAAAACTATGAACTTTGAGAGAGGAGCRGGGATCCCACTAGACTGGGTACATACCCACACTGCTCAGCCAAAGCAAGTTCACCCTCTCTAGAAGGATTAAAWTGTAGGAATAAATGCAGGAATTGTACAATAGTGTTCACAATTTGGGGGTAAATAAGGAGAATAAAACCTTTGTCCACCTTACACAACGTAAGAGGAAAGCATGCATTTCCCAGCTCACAAGCTGAAAGCTTCTTGGGTCAAGAGAAAAAACAACAGACAGTTATTTGTTCTGTCTCTGCAACCAAAGCTGCAGCAGCAAATATTTCACACTGCACTTAAATACAGGCATTTTTAT